AATGATTTATTTTTTTTTTAAGTACTGGGAATCAAGCTCAGGACCTTGTGCTTGCCAAGCCCAGCAATACCTTTCGGAACTCTACAATGGAGAATACTGGGACTGTCTGTACACAAAGTCTTGGGGAAGTTGGAGATTGTGCCATCCACCTTTCAAACAAACTGAAAATCCCTTCCAAACCAGGATTATGGTCTCATGGAGGGCAGGACCATTTTCTGCAAAAACAATGGAATCAGCAATGTATTCCCTGTGCTAACAAGGGTGACCCGGGACGTGGAGGTCTCATTTTTTAGCTTTGGTGGCCAGTAACACTTAAAGATGCCAATTGTGCCCCTCTGCCTTTTCAGTCCAAATAACACTTTGGTTAAAAATGAGCTCATCTGCCTCTTGTCTGCAAAAGAAGGGCCCTCTCTCACTGCCACTCCTAATTCTCAGTCATCAACAGCACAGCGGCACTGCCTCCTGCTCTCTGTCATGCACATTCACACATAAATCCACAACACAAATCCCGCAACACGACATCCTGCTCAACGCCACTGGACTCAGAGAGCTCCCTAACAAATTCTTGCCACATGATGAGAAAATCATTCAAGGTTGCAGGAAATATGGCAAGCACAGAGGAGTGACAGTCAGTTAGGAATGAAGAGCAGAGGGCGTCCCTGGCATCAAAATCTTTAAAGTCGGAGCAGTAAGCACAAAACGGGCCATTATTCACATAAGGCATTCTTATTTAAAAGACACTAATTTTATCTCACGTTTACCATACATTATTGATGCCAGGAGAACTGGATGGGAGGGGTGAAAGGACCAGTCTTGAAAATTTGAAAAATGCAGATACTAATGTGTGCCATCCAGCCACCTTGTGGGTTTTCCTTCATCAAGCAAGGAAACAAAGCATAGTCAACAGTTAAATTTCTCCCCTTTGAAGAATAATTTATATAGATGAAAACAAAATGTTCATGCTAGTATTTTGGTACATTCTTTTTCTGATGAAATGGTAATGAATGGCCCAGCAAGCCTGGTTGCCAGATGATTTGCCATTCCCCAATGGTAACCACTTTCAGAGAAACAGTGCCACACTCCCTCTGTTCACACACACCATAGGGAAAGAATCTCAAAGTATAGGCAAGTATAAGATACAGAAAGACAGTACATTCATGTATCTTTTAGTTGTCATCTAAGTCAACTTTAAGTTGTCTCAAGTAAGCACCTGTCCTTAGCTTCTTTAAAGGAAACATAAACACAGAGTCAGCATTAGGAGGAGTTCTGGAATCCGTGAGAGGTGTTAACTTACTTGTTAGTTTGTTGTGGCTGAGGACCAGCTGTGTGATGTGGGACAAGGAGACTGCAAAAAGAAAAAAAAAGAAAGCAAATGACAATCAGGAATTGTGTCCAAGTTACACTTGTGTCTCTATCAGGTAAACTGTTAAAATGATTTTCACAGGTTGAAGTGGGATGGCTCAAAATAGAAATGAGGATTCATACAACGCTATCTGCTAAATGTTAAACCAAATGAAGAAATAGCAGTTAATGGCATACTTATCACAGCAAGCTGGAGCTAGTGAGATTGAGACCACAGGGCCCAACACGGCAAGGACTGGTCAGCTTTGTTTGGCGACCTGGTCGGCTTGCCTCACCCTGCCTGTCCAGGTCCCCTGCGCCACTCCAGAGCAGGTGGTGGCTCTAGAGAGATGCAGAGGCCTCCTCCCTGAGGCTTCCATGCTGTCCTCCAGCTCCCAGCAGAACACCACCACCCAGAAGGCCGGCAGGGCATCATGTCATTGCCCACTTGGACCCACAATCAGATGACGGTGGCAGAGACTCTCCATTACTGCCTTTAAATACTTTTTGGTTGATATTTCAAAGCATTCATTTGAAATGCGGATTACTTGCCAGTTTCAAACATTATTTTAGAAGTTTAATCTGCTCAACAAGATTATAGTTGCTAAAGAATGGTTTCTCTAACTATAAAGAAAGAAAATATACACAGATCCACAGAGTGAGAAAGAGGGAGGGAGAAGTGACCTGCTTTCTACTTCAGTTTCTAAAACTTTACTGGGTGGTCAGCATTATATACACAGATATATACATATTTATGTAAGAAACATTTAGAAGTTTTTCCAATATTCTTTCTACAAGAACATTCTTTTAATGCATTAGAGATTTTTCTTTAAAGGGATAATAAAACAACAACAAAAAAAAATTTTGTCACTGTTGGATCTCAGCATGCTTAAAAGAAAATGAGTATATAACTCTCCTGATCACAACTTTCGCCTAGTTTTTTTCTTACACCATCACTAAGTTAAAGAAAACTTCAAAATACAATATAAAGACCTATGTTGTTGGCCTGCATCTTTGAATCAAGCTGCTGGTCTAGTGGCCTACAAACTTGGTAACTGAAAACAATGCCTCACACGACTTGAAGACAACCCTCAAAGTGAAAAGGTAACCCTAAGCATGGTGCCCAGCTCATCCATTCCCTCCTCCAAAAAGCACCTCAACCATTTCTTCCTCTTATGAAAATGGATCCTGCTCAGAGTCCATGCTGTGTAGAGCTATCAAATCTCATTAAATTCCTTCAGCCTGGGAGTTTTCTTTCCTTCATTTTCTTGACACTGATAACTTGGGAAACTTTATGTCAGATTATTTTGCATGATGTCCCTGCTATGGACTGGATGAGTGTCCCCCAAAGGTATGTAAAGGCTTGGACCAGGGAGTGGTATTGGGGGACGGTTATGGCTTATATCTAGCTGTCCCGCCCAAGCCTCATGCAGTCATGGGGTGGAATTCTAAAGTTTATGATTAACTCATGATCCACTGGGATTATGTGTGTGAGTGCTTCTGGGATTATGTGTGTGAGTGCTTCTGGGATTATGGGTGTGAGTGCTACACCCAGCCTGGGGCAGAGAGCCTGAATGCAACTTAAGGAAGAGAGACTTGTTCTCTGTAGCCATTATTGCTACTACTTCTCCCTTTTGCTCTCTGCTCTTTGCCACCACCAGGAAAGGCTGCCTTCTGCCATGTGCCGCTCTGCCTTGGAGCCCGCTGAGTATGGACTGAAACGTCTAGGAACTATGAGCTAAATAAACCTTTCCTTCCTTAATTTTGAGTGTTGAGTGTTTGTCCAAGCAACGAGAGAAGAGTAAGTGAGAAAGGGGCACTGTGGACCTCCACAACGCAGGGCTCCTGGGAGCCCCCTAGGTCACTGTGGTCTCTTCCAATCGCCCGCCACTCCCTGCCACCACTTCCTGCTTGAGACAGAAACACTTGCTTCCTGTTGTCATGCTCCTGTTCCTGCTCCTGTTCCTGCCATATATGCCAGCTTCATCAGAGACCCAATCTGAGTCTGAGGAGACCCAATCCAGTCTTGGACTTAAACCTCTAGCACCAAAATAAATCTTCGGCACCAAAATAAACCTCATCTTACCTCCTAGATGACGAATGTCAAATACTTGAGCGCAGGCCTGCAAAGCTCTAAGTAAAGCTCCTTCAGCATCGGGCCACCGTCAAGTCCTGGCTAGGCTCCGGGCATGCGGCTCTCGCAAGAGCACTGCGCACACACACTATGTTCTCCCTGCCTCTTGTCAGTGGCACTGGGCTTCAATCTGTCCCACTGCTGGGGATGCTCCCTTTCAACAACAGCCTCCTCCACTGTCCCCTTTCTAAAAGTAAGTATCTGAAGAGGAGGAAAAAAAGGACTTTGAAACTATGCCGACATCCTGTTCATCACCAAACTCTGAATTGACTGATGTGTCTTGGTCCCCAGCTAGGGCAACTGCACCCCTGTGAGACATTTGATAGTATCTGGAGACATTTTCATTGCGACAACAGTGGCCACTGGAAAAGCTCCAATCTGCTGTGTGGTTGGCACTATATATTCCTATTAGATGGCACTGGTCCGACGCCAGGGATCTGATAAGCCTAGGTCAAAGAAGGCTCCAGTCTAAAATGGCCCAGCATTGTTACTGAGAAATCGGTACTGAATGATTTGTATTCAATGGGGCTCTGTGGCTTCCCGTTTCAGTCATGGGATTATAATGTCTCGCTATGTACGTAAATGCTCAAGCTGTGCCTCGCACCCCCATGGGAGTCCATCCACACAGGCTGCTGAGTCCTCCTGGGCATCGATGTATCGCCATGTCTCTGAGCACATGCTCACTTTCTTGTACCGTCCCTTCCACACTTGAGATCAACAATTTCTCTACTAAGTTCTGGTTTCTGATTATGGGAATGATACTTTTAAGCCAAAATCTAGGTCTAGATGCACTCATGGTTGAGGGAAGGTCAGCAGAGCTAGCAACTTTCTCTGTCTGTGTCTGTCTGTCTGTCTGTGTCTGTCTGTCTGTCTCTCTCTCTCTCTCTCTCTCTCTCTCTCTCTCTAGATCGGAAGGTCTAGATGCACTCATGGTTGAGGGAAGGTCAGCAGAGCTAGCAACTTTCTCTGTCTGTGTCTGTCTGTCTGTCTGTGTCTGTCTGTCTGTCTGTCTCTGTCTCTCTCTCTCTCTCTCTCTCTCTCTCTCTCTCTCTCTCTCTCCTTCTCTCTCATCCCTCTCTCCATAACTTCATTATTTACTTTTCTTTTGGGAACCTGGAATTGAACTCACAGCCTCAGGCTTGCCAGGTAAGAGCTGAGCCACTGAGCTACATCCCAGGCCCACTACTCTCATTATTAAAATCATGAGTTCATCCGTTATATCCAACTTCAATATAAGACAAGACTCATTTCGGTCCTCTTCCTTTCCATAATAGTAATTCTCTTCTCTACAGGAACTCTGGCTTCCCTCCTCTTTTACCACAGTAACAGACCAAAGTAACCTTACCATGAGCTATGCTCCCATCTCATTCGTATAGCTCTGTGCTCTCTTCTGGAGCCACCCGAGGTCTGGCACTGATTTGGAGCCAGGTACAGCTTAGCCTAAGGTACAGCTTAGCTGCGAACACTGTTCGCAAGGGCAACTGTACTTGACCCAGGGCCGAGTGCTGGACACTTGCTCCTATCTTGCTCCTCTACAATCATGATTCTGCACACAAGCTCCGTGGTACAGTCTGGACAGGAAATGCGTCCTAGGCAGTAACTGGGAAGCAACACGGGGGGACTGTGCCCAGGAACCTCAGACACAAGGATGGCCTGGGTTTGCTGTTTCCTGCAGGCCAGACCCTGTGTCTTCAATAAGTCCCACTGAGAGGAGACGCAGGGGTCCCACACAGCCACCCAGCCCTCTCTGCCCTCCTGCCTGGATGTAGACATCCTGCCTGGCCCCCTCCATCGGGTGCCCCTGACCTACAGGGACACAGTCACAACACGCACAGGGATGCTCTCCTCGCCCACTCCTGCCCTGACATGCTGCCCTGTACCACTCCTGGGGGCTACCCAAGGGAATGGAACCATTAGGAAAGAGAAAGAAAAAGGGGGAAGAGGGAACAAGTGCGCTTCTGGGGTTGTTTTATAGCCTCATAAGATGGCTTCCCACAGGACGGTAAGACTTTAGAAGCTATAGAAAACCCCCTCTATTTTTATTACTGAGCACTAAGATTTTCTTGTCCACTCCATCCTCTATCCCTGAGGTTTACAGCTGAGCATGAAAAAAATCATCTCGAAGAGTCCCCTCATACCAAACAAGATTAAACAGACTCAGACGAATCAGAAAAGATTATGTTCAGCTCCACGTGACAGCGACAACAAATGCCCTGGATTACAGAGAGCAGGGGTTCTCTGTCCTGCATGGATACTGGTCAGGGGCGTCTGGCGTCCTGCTGCTCAAACATCCCCAGTGCACAGCTCCTCCTCGCATGGAAAAAAGGTGTGTGCTTCTCAGAATTCACATGTGGAAGCCCCAAGCTCCCAAGTGAAGGCATCTGAGGGAAGATCTTCTCATGGCTATTGTGGGGTAGTCAGGCCGTGAGGCTGGAGTCCGCCTGAAAAGGACTTTTGCCCTTGTAGGAAGAGATATGACACAGTTGACTCCTGTGTCTTTGCACCATGTAAGACGACACCAGGAAGGCGACCATCTGTACACTAGGAAAGTCCTGAATCTATTAGCATAACCTCAAACATTCCAGCCCTCAGAACTGTGAGGATTAATTTTCTGTTATTTAAGCACTTCATATTATGTTACGTTATCTTTGTTACAGCAACTAAAACTGCTAAAATACACCTCATGGTCCAAAATGACTGCCTATGATAAGCCATCATGCCTATGTCACCCTCAGGAGGAAAGAAAAAGAAATCCTCCTTACAGACACTTCCACAAAGACAGGCACGGTACTGCCACCAAAAGCACTTATCTTATTTGTAACGCAGTGATGTTGGCCTTCAAGACTGGCTAAGAAATAGAGTCTGTATTT